TGGTGCTGCAGGTGGTGGGCGTTCGCTGAGGGGAATCTCAGCGCATTTGAAAGTGTTCAGAAGCGACTGCTTGCGAGCCTGGGTCTCCGTGGTCGCGCCCGCGCAGGGCAGTCCGTCGGGTCCCACCGCAATAACTGGAGCTGGCGTCGGTTCGGGGGCTTTCCGGTTGATGATCTTGTAGCGCTTCCTGGGGTCGGTCTGGCGAGCCGCAGTGGTGGCCTCGTCTGCAAGGTCGGCGACTGCCTGGCGTGGCTTGTCTAGCGGTGAGTGAGAGGAGTCGAACTCTGGTCTGCGCCGTGAGAAGCACACCAAAAGGAACTCGTTGGTCGGCGAGCCAAGCGTAATTTGCCTGTCATATCAAAACACATGCAACGTACAAAGCATTGTCTGTGCACACGCCTCCGCACCCGGCCGGCTTGGCCGGCGGTTGCCGCCCGGCTTGGCCGGTGGATGCAGAGGCGGTTGCCTTGGGGTCCTCCTTTGGTCTCGGACTGCGTATGCCCAACTATTCGGGCACCCCTGGCCCAGTTCGCCCTCAGCGTTTCGGCGTGTGGTTGGCCATCCTCTTCAGCACCTGCCACGGCCAACCGCGCGGGGCAGGCCGATGCTGTCGCGAACGACATCCCTGTTTCCGCCGTAGAGAAAACACCACGCGTAACTCTTGAATGCAAGATGCACTGTGTCTGGCTGTATTCTGGGACTCCTTCGTGCACGCCAAAATTGCCGGACGATGGCCAGCAGAGCTCTTGGAACCTGCTGTTTTGGCCTTCGGAGAAGGGGGGAAACAACTGCCCCCTCCTTCGCGTCACCGTCGGCACCTGGTGGACTGGCCGCAGGTGCCCCCTTTTTCCTTGAATGTCTGACCCCCCGCCCCCGCGACCAGAGCACTGACTGGAGCACGGGACGGCGGAGCCGACTTCGCAGCAGGCATGCCGGAATCTCTCTGCAACGCGCGCAGGCGTGCCGGAATCTCTCTGACTGATGGGGAAAAAGGCTGCGCCGCCGAAGACGAGCTCCTGGAGAGCCTCGGCTGATAACCCGTATTTTGCCTGTCAATTCACAACAAATGCAACGCGCAAAGCATTGTTTGTACACGCGCCTCCGCACCCAGCCGGCTTGGCCGGCGGTTGCCACCCGGCTTGGCTGGTGGTTGCAGAGGCGGTTGCCTTGGGGTCCTCCTTTGGTCTCGGACTGCGTATGCCCAACTATTCGGGCACCCCTGGCCCAGTTCGCCCTCAGCGTTTCGGCGTGTGGTTGGCCATCCTCTTCAGCACCTGCCACGGCCAACCGCGCGGGGCAGGCCGATGCTGTCGCGAACGACATCCCTGTTTCCGCCGTAGAGAAAACACCACGCGTACCTCTTGAATGCAAGATACACTGTGTCTGGCTGTATTCTGGGACTCCTTCGCACACGCCAGAATTGCCAGAATATGCCCAGCAAAGCCCTTGGAACCTGCTGTTCTGGCCTTCGGAGAAGGGGGGAAACAACTAAGTGGCCCACCTGATGGCCTCCTGCTTCTGCTTGATCAGTCGGTCCGTGTCGGCAGAGAAGGCAAATGACTAGCGTTCCTGCTTGGGCGTGAGGAAATCGCTCGCGGCCGAGGCCACCGCCGGCTCCAAGACGCCGTAATAGTTGGTAGGGGAGGTCTGCGCAAGGGCCTGGTCCACGGAGGCAATGGCGTGGCTCGCGCGGTCCTGGAAACGCGGCGCGTCGCTGATAGCGGCGGTCAGTGGGCCTCCACTGCCTGGGTCCTCCGCCTCGGCGGTAGACCAGCGCTGCCATGCCTGGAGAGAACTCAGGATCTGTTGACGGTGCCACGTTGGCGTCGGCGTCCTGGGAGGTCGCTTAGTGAAGTGTCGACCCACTCGGACAGACGCCTCGACTATCATATGATCTCTAAAGGGGCCCACGGCCAGTGGTGTCTCACGAATGACCCGCGCGAAATCCTGTGAGCCCGTGCTGCGCGACGTGGCGATGTAGTCGATCCGCGTCGCGGTCCGCGTCTCACCCTGACCGTCAGGGTTTCTCCATGTGGTACTGCGTCCCGCTGGTGGGCCGAAGGTGTTAAGGGCACGCATGCTGTACTGGGAAAGATGTCATTGAGGCGTCGTCTGTTGTCGGTCTACTGCGGTCGATGCCGTCGCCGTGGACTGGCATGTCCTACTTCAGGTAGTGACGGCGCCATGCTACCGTGGCCATCCAGGGCCAGTGGTATAGCACAGCGAACGGGGATACAGCCCAGCGCACGATTCATATTGTCAAAGAACTCGTCCTTGTCGCGTCGGCATGCCGCGTGGTCGGCTGCTGTGATGGGTCGGGCTTGGGGCTTGTCAGCTGGGGCGTATCCACGGAGGGCGTAAAAGTCGATGTGGGTCTTGCGTTGGGCCCGAATGCCCACTAGCCTCCCGAGCTGCCACCTGCGTGTAACTGTAATCTTCTCCCGTGAAGCAATTCGCTTGGATAAAGCAATGCCAGCCCCGTCCTTCAAGCGGCGAACCGAGCGTGGGGAAAGCGTGATGATGTAGCCGGGGCCCTCCCATTGGTGTTCGATGGAGAGCATGGTGCCCTGCAGGGCAAGGACATCGAAGCGGGCAGCCGCCGCATGTCGAAGAACCTCGTCCAAGCGGCCAGGCATGAGCATTGTCTCGGCGTTGTACGACCCACATCTTGACGTAGCCGCGGCGTGGGGTACAATGGGTCGGTGGGAGAAGTGAAGTTGGGAGCACCGCGCCGCTGTGCGCCGCAAGTCGGCATAGCTTCGCCACTGCGTCCTGGCCTTCGTCTGGCCTTCGTACAGGGCTCCCTTGAACCACACTCGCCCTCTGGCGACTATGGCTCGGCTGGCGCGGTGATAGCTCCTTGTGCTGTGCACTGGCTCGCTCTGGTTTCGACATCATCTGATGGCATGGAGCTCCACCGTGATCGTGCCGTCACCGAGCGCTCGGCCCTCCAGCGTAAGGAACTTCGGCTAGCGATGGCGCGCAGAAGAAGGAGAAACTAAACATGTCTCGCCATCGCCTGAGAATCATGCTGTGCGGGGGCTTGCGACCCTGCCGACACGAGAAAAACGCCACAATCGCTCGAGCCAGGGCCTTCTGAGGGCGCTTCCCGACATCCGCCAGGTCGCCAGCGCCACTCCTACCCCAGACCATTCCCCTCTTGCACCTCCCCAGTTGATAAACACATCCCTCTGGGCTCACGTACGACCATCGCGCGACCCTTCGAGTCAAAGGGCGCGTCTCGTCATCCGAAGGTTCCACCCGAGATTTCAACACCTCTACTTGATGGGGATGTTTCGAGCGAGAGCTTCAGATCTGACATAAAGGGTCTTGCAACAATCTTTCCGACATCCCAATGTTCAAATATGTCTGGGGCCAGAACCCAATTTTCGAAGATCCGAAGGTTACGCCAGCGATTTTAGCAGCCCTACGCTTTGAAGATGTCTTCGGCGAAACGTTGCCCCGATGGCCGAAGTGCCTTCTCAAATACGGAAGGCCACCCGTCAGAAGAAACGGTGCGAGGATCGCTCGCGCACGCTCGCAAACTCAAAATCCTAACTTCACCACATATCAAGAATCAGTCTTCCTTGAACCATATGTCGCCTTTCGACCAAATGATCTTTCCGTCTTGCAGGACTCCGCTGAGCACGTGCCCGAATAAGTTCATGTGGACGGTGGCGCCTGCGATGACCACCTCCGTGGTCTCAGTGCTGTCGTCAGCGTGATGGGCCCAATGCATACTAGATGCAACGATGGTGAGGACAGCACAACCCACCCCGACCCCAGGCATGAACCCCCACTACTCCCGACCTGGTGATCCAGGGGGTCCTGACTGGAGGTGCGGGTAGTTTTCGGGGGAATCTTGGGCCCCCAGAAAAACTCCCTCACCCCAAGTCAAGACCCCCTGCTGGATCACCTGGTCGGGAGTTTGGGACCTGGCTGGGGGTGGGGTGGTTTGTGCACTCCTCAGATAGTTCCCACTCTGCCGCAACTTTGGACGCCCGAAAGTGGCACTGAGAAAATTGGTACAATGCCAACAGAATGTTGTCCAAAAGCCGACAGCGGCCGCTGTTGGGCAACGGACCCTCTGTCCCCAATGGACACTATCCGCGGAGACACCGACCGCGAGTCCCGGTCAAAACGAACAGGAACTGCTGTCAATCTTCGTGCCGATTCTTTCCGTACGGCATTTTCGCGTCGTATCGAGCCCGGCGTTGTTTCCTGACACCGCGAGTATCGTTCCGCCTTGCACGATGGGCCGTTTCCGAAACATCAGATCGTTCAACATGGACCGATCCTGGGCAGCATGGTGGCGTTCCACGTGGAACGCCAGCGGCGGACTCGCCGCCGGTCGACACGACGCGAACCCGCTGTACCCATTCGTTCCGTCCCCAGACATGCGACGTCCTGATTTTTTCGGGACGGCGTCCCTAGACATCCCGACCCTGTCCCCTGGACCGGCTCCTCCTCCCGAGTCGCTCAATTGGACGGCCCCGAGGCCGGGCGAGGGGCCGCTCGAGGCCGAAGAGAGCGAAAAACCTCCCGCCCTGATTTTTTTTCCGCCGCGAGCACGTCTGGGTTCTTGGGGAAATCAAAAGGTACCGATACCGCTGCCCCCCGGACCGGCGCGTTCTGACCAGGACTTCGAGGCGAATCCGGCGGTGGCGACGAGGGCCTGCAGGGAGACCCCCCTGGAAAGGGGGAAGCGGGCGAAGGGCAGCGGTAACCCCAGACCCCCGACGTAATGATTTTTTCATTACGTCGACCCCCAAAGGTCCCGACCCTTTCCCCATGACCGGCTTTGCATCCTGAGTCGTTTTTTGACGCTCCCGAGGCCCGGTGAGGGCCCCCAGAGGCCGAAAACTAGGAAAAACCTCCCGTCATGACTTTTTCATTATACTCGAGGGGGTCTGGGCTCCCTCCTCCGAGCCCCCGCTTCGATGGCGCCGGGCACCTGTCCGACCACCGGCCCTCGAGGGCCCCGGCGAAACGCGGCGCGCCAGGCGCGGGCGCGTGCTCCGGGGCCTGCGCGCCCGCGGGGGAGGCCACGCCGCCCGGGGCCGCGCGCAGCGCCGGCGCCCCGCCGCGGGCGTCCGCGCGGGCCCTGCGGCTGCTCCGGGGGCCGGCGCGGGCCGCCGGCGGGCCTGAGAGAGGTGCGGGCATACAGGCCTCGGAACAAATTCGCGAACACCTGCCACATTCATCCGAGGGCGGCGATATCTGTACATCTCCACTGCTCCCGGCCAGGCCAATCCTGGGCCCAAGAGCTGTGTATACGCCCTCCTGGCTTGGCCAGGGAGGCATATACACCGCTCCTGGGCCCAGGATGGGCCTGGCCAGGAGCAGTGGATATGCATAGATCTCGTCGCCCTACATCCGTCAGCGCCTCCCCCTTCCCCCGATGTTCAAAGTTGGCGGTGGGTCTGGTGAGATGCACTTCGACCGCAGTCTCCGACGCGCGTGCCAACATGGAGTTTGGGGGGGGAGGGGGAGTGTTCAGTAATTGTTTCCCTCGACCGTAGCCCCTCCCCCCCAGGAGAACCACCCCGGCACGCGAGGTCGTGCAGCCAACGCGCCCGCATCGAGCAGAGCGCCAAGTCTGTCCGGTCCGCGTGGCTTCTCCTCCCTTGAGGTCTGGGGGGCGAGGGAGGGGCTGCGCGTTCGCTGCGACGCGCACCTTCCGCGGCAACGCGTGGAGGAGAGCCCAGAATCGAATCGAGAAGCCGGAGCGGCAATCGGAGCGAATCGGAGCGGCGGGAATGAGCAGCCGAGTTAGGGCAAGGTCGAATCGGGCGGAAATCGGAATCCGGAGCCGAATCGTATCGGAATCGGAAGCGAATCGAAATCGAAATCGAAGTCGAAATCGAAATCGAAGCGAATCGAAGCGAATCGAAGCGTATCCGCAGCGGAATCGAAATCGAATCGAATCGAATCGGAGGAACCGAAACGGGCCCGGCGTGGGATCTTCCGATGCCATCGACGTCGGCGCTCGCGGGCCGATGCGGATCGAGGCTGCACCCACGCCGGTCGGCGCCACATCGGCGCACCTAGAAAGGATCACCAGACGCCAGTCATCCCAAATCACGATCCAGGCTTGCTCACGCGCGCTCGACGGAGAGCTATACCACCTAGAAAGGAGCTCGTCGAGCTCCTGGCTTTCCATCAAGCCAGTCGACGCAAATCGGCGAACCTAGAAAGCATCACCAAATCACCGCGCAAATGCTCTCTAAAGACGAACGCACGAGGGTATTCGGCGGTGGACAAACCTCCCTTTAGCAAACCTCCCCTCAGTGAAAACGGCCAATTCGCTAGTCGACGTGTCAGGGAAGGAGGTCTGTCCAATCCCCCGAGGTGTACAAATCTCCCATGCTTTGCCACCGAATGCACCTGTAGCCGTCTCGGCACCCCCGGGTTCTGCGCCTCCTCGGATGCTGACGAACATTGGCTCGGCGCTGCAGCCGTCAGGCCAGAGCGTGGCACTGCCCGTGGGCTTGCCGAGGGCGGTGGGCGGGGCCCCGTCTTCGTCGCGCCGCGCAGCCGGCCTGCCTCGGAGGCGCCTCCTCCTCGTGGGCGAGGGGAACGGCACGGGAGCGCCCTGCGAGAAGAGTGCTGGCTTCCAGGCCTCGGGATAGTCGGGTCGGGCGAAAGGGGGGGATAGCAAAGGGGGGGTTTGAGAATCAGCTCACGTAGCTGATTTTCCCGGCGCCTCCCGGCGCCGGAGGCGGCCATGTATCGAGGAATGGGCCCCTCGGTGGGGCCGAAACTAGCTGCATGCAGCAGATTTCGTAACCCCCCCTTTCCCAATCCCCCCCTTTCGCCCGACCCGAGATAGGACTCACACATGATCTTGAGGTCACGGTAGATGCTAATGTCTCGGGGAGGCGCAGGGCTCGGGCTCGAAGGGGGCCCGCGTCGACGGGACGGGGCCGTCGGGACGAGACCGGATCTGAATCTTGGCGCGGTCTCCCGCTGCGGACATCCAGACCGTCAGAAGTCAGGACGGGCCCGTTCAAAAGCACGGGCAAACCCGAGCTCCAGCGACCTCGAGTCTTGCGATTCCCCGGATGTTGCAATCGAGGCCCTGATGCTTGCTCCAGTGGATGCTGCACACCTTCCTTTCAGGAGGCATCTACTGGGAGGTCTTCGTCGGAAGAATTAGGGAACACTGAGCCTCATTGGCGGGCTGCTGCGCCGGATTAGGCCGCGGACTCTAAGCGGGAATGAGCCGGATGAAGCGGGATGAAGCCGGATGAAGCGGGATGAAGCAAAATTGGCCCGTAACTCTCGGACCAAGGCGCAATCGGAAAACTCGACCTCCCGGGAGCTGCACCCGAACTTCCTGCTCCGGCAGGGCCACGCCCGGAAGCCCTCGGAGAGGATTTCGGGCCAGGGCCACATCGGAATCTGACCTCCCAGGAGCTGCACCCGAACTTCCTGCTCTGGCAGGGCCACGCCCGGAAGCCCTCGAAGAGGGAGAACAAGTGCAGGGCGGCCGCGTGGTTCACGGCGTTCACGAAGCCGTAGCCGAGCGACTGCGCCGTGGCGAAGTCCACGGGCAGGTACACCAGATGGCGCCGACCCCTCGGGGGTACTTCGGCGTGTGAGGCGAGGTGGCTGCCCCTCCCCAATATGGGACGCACAGAGACATACTAGTACTATATGTCCTCCTTGGAGGCAGGCGTCCAACCCGAACATATCGTCTACCCAGCTTGTACTATACATCGCTTCCCGAGCGGTGAGGCCAGAAAGCGCCCGACGCGACGCATATACTGTACGATTGCTCGGTGCGCGCGTCGCCTCTGGGGGGGGCGACGCACATATAGTACAGGTATGGTGTGCCGCCGACAATAAGACGAAGCCAGGACGAGGATAAGACTGGGTGCGGATAAATCAGGAGCGTTTGGGATCCACCGACTCTGGACGATGTCTCGGGCGATCCGCGGCCTTCTCAAAGCGTTCCGGAACGCTCTGAGAGCCTTCGGGAACGCTCTGGAACGGGTTTGTTGTCCTAGCCCCGTCCGGCACGGGTCGATATATCACATCCGCTGACCCCTTGGGGTTACTTCGGCGTGTGACGTGGCTGCCCCTCCCCGCCAAGCCCCCCCCAGGTACATGGGCCTGGGCGCTCCAGAGGGGGGAGGGTCCCGGCCAGGGGTGACAGCGTTCCCTCGAGGCAGGATCAATCGGCATCGAGTTGGGAACTTGGATCGGATCGGAACTTGTATCGAATAGCACCTCCTCCGCTCGGAGTCGGCATCGAATCGAATCGGCGATATCAAGATGCATAACAGCGCCACAAGCTTCGGGCCAGATCGGATCATCGGAACGGAATCGAATCGGGCCGGCCAGAACTGGTCATCGGTCGGATCGAAATAGGCCCTGCAAGGGTGGGACCCGTCTGGCCGAGAAAACGCTCCCAATCGCGCATCCCGTGCCGAAGGAAACTCTATGACGGCACATGGGTGCTCCAGCGCGGCCCGAGGCTTCCCAGACGGCCCAAGAGAGACCCAGGAAGAACCCCAGCAGGGCGCTAAGAGCCAGACGTCCATGATACTCCCTATCTGCGTTATCATCTTTGATGCACTAGCCTTTTCGATCTGAAGGATGTCTAAAACAGCCGGAGAGGTCCCCACGATCCTCCCCAAATCGCCCCAAGATGGCCCGAAGCCCGAGAGACTTCCAAGAGGGCCCCGAACCTGCCCGGGAGGGCCCACAAAACGAGCCCAAGAGGGGACTTGAGGGGGCCCCAGGAGCCCTCGCCTACAAGATGGCCCCCAAGACCACAACCTGTCCCCAGGAGAGCCCCGAGAGGCCTCCCAAGGGGCCTCCAAGAGGCCCCCAAGAAGCCCCCAAGGTGCCCCAGAGGCCCCCAAGAGGCCCCAAAAGGGGGCCACGGGACGACCTCTAGCAGGGCACCTCTTGGCCACGGCTCTGGCCTCCTCCCTGGGAGGCACGGTGCCGAGACACGCCCACGCGACAGCGACCCCAGAAGGGGCCTACGGTGGTCCGGCGGTCCGGCGCAGGCGGGCGAATCGTACTGCCCTCGGCAGCCCTGCGAGTCCAGGATGTCGGAGGAAGGAAAAGAGCGGCACCCGGCAGAAGCTCTCGGGGGCTCCGCGCGGCTCCCTCGGATCGGCGCTCGCCCCCCCCCTCCTCCCTTGGCGGCGCGGGGGGAGCCGCAGGGGCCGCGCCAGCGGCGCCGCCCGGGGGGGATCCAGCGCCGACCGAGGACCTCCGCGCGGAGCTCCGCAGGGGGCGCAGTGGGTCGGCCGATGCCCCGTTGCGAAGCCCAGCTGGCTGCTCAGCAGGGCTGGACCTGAACGTTGTTTTTGGAGGCTTAGAACTGGGCACCAACACCAACACAGGGGTTTGCCTCCACATGGGGAAGATGATCCTAGATTTCGGTGTTGGTGGCAATGTTTCGGTCACCTTGGAAGCCACACTATTACCACCATCACCGAGATCGGGGTATTCTTCCCTCGATAGAGGCACACCGCCGATCTTGGTGTTGGTGTCAACCTCTAGGCCTGCCATGTTTTTCGTTTTGTTTTGGTTTTTGTTGTTCGTTCTGCTCTCCCTGTTCTCTGCACCTCCCTGCCAGACCGAAAAGCGAGACACGGCCGAAGTCCAGCAACTCCAGCCCTGCTGCTCAGAACCTCCCACACACACCCGGGCCAGCGGGAGGCGGAGAGGATGAAGCAGCCCCACGCGGCTCCCAGGCCGGGGTCAGCCCGAGGGGCCTGGCTGGCCCCCGTTAGCGCTGACCCCCTCCACGTGGGCCCCGACTCCGAAAGACTGTGCGCATGCTGGCTTCCCTCCTTCGAGATGTGCACGAACATGTTCCGCGAGAGAACGTACGGCAAGTTGCGGAACTGCACCGTGGTCAGGCTGGGGCCCGCAGGCGGCGGCGTCGAAGAGAGCCCGCCCGGGGTCCGCACCTGCTGCGCATCGGGCACGGCGTCCTGACGCTCCTCGCCCACCGCCCACCTTGGGAGGCAACTCCTGAGAGGCCTTCGCAAGAACGACTGGGGGCTGTCAAGCCCGATTGAGGACCATTGCCAGGAAGCAGGGAACACACACGGCTGGATTCACACCTGGAACGTCCCGAGGGCAGGCGCTGGGCGAACGCTGGAAAAACGACTGGCCACATGCGTGGTCTTCTCAACCCTCGCTCCGGCCGGCCGCGCCACGTGTCTCCAGCTTCCGAGCCGGACTCGGTCGGATTCAGCCTGGGACCCTGCCGAACGAAGCCGGATCGAGCGGGACCAGGCGATCACACTGCAGCGGGCCAGTGTCCGACCACGGCTCTGCCAGCGCAGCTGCCGAGCTCACCCTCCCCCAGGAGCTGCATCCCAGGCCACCGCTCGAGCCCATCGCCCACCGGCGCCGCCCCGCAGTGCGCCCCGGCGGCGCGCGGAGCCGTCGACTCGCCCCACGCGCACGGCTCCTCGGGCGGGGCGTCCCGGCGCTCCCCGCCCAACGCCCACCACCCGAGGGGCAACGATGGGGCTTGGTCGGGCCTGTCCCCCTCGGCTGGTCGATCAATCATCCCCTGACTCTATTTTTGTACTGTCTTTGAAAATCCCTCCTGTAGAGGGACATGCCCCCGACTTCACGAAAGTTGGGGGGGGGGGCCGGCTCCGGGGGGGAAGCCTCGTCCTGGAACTGGCGGCACCTCGCCGGCGGATCGGCGATGGGCCCCGCACAGCGCATCCGCCCGGCCCCGTGGGGATTCCCGGGCCCCTGTCGGCGCTCGGCGGGCAATGTGAGGCGTCGACGCATTCCCCCCTTCGTCTGCCCCTCCCTCGCCGAGGCAACCGCAAGGCATCGATACCACCACTCCCCAGACCTCTCCTGAGGTGTCTTCTGGCCAGGATTTCGGGGCGAATCCAGCGGTGGCGACGAGGGCCTCCCAGGAGGCCCACAGAGGGGAAAGCAAGGGTAGCAGTATGGGTACCTTGGATGAAACACCGGTTCCGAGGAAGGGGTCGGGACCTCTGGGGGTCGACGCTGTGAGAAAACCGCGGAGTCGGGGGACTGGGGGTATATGGGGAGGGGGGAAGCCTTCTTAGGAGGCTGCTTATCAGGAGGCGCCAGCCTTACACTTAGGTCGGGCATGTCCCCCTCTACAGGTGGATTTTGGAGGAAAAAGGAAGGCTAAAGGCTGAAATAGGCTGAAAGCAGGTTGGAACATCAGAAACCTTGTCCTCCTCCGACGACCGCTGCCCCGACCGCTTACCGCTCGAACCACCCGCGCACCGCGCGCGCCGCGCCCGCGAGCGCGGCTCGGCGGCGCGCGGGGCCGTCGGCTCGAGGCCCGAGGCCGAGGGGCCCCCTCGGGCGGCGGGGTGCGCTCCTCCTCGCTGCCGCTGCCCAGGCCGCCACGCGCGCCGAGGCCCGCGCGCCGCTGGGCGGCAGCGGCGGGGCTCTCCTCGTCGTCGTCGTCGTCGTCGTCGTCGTCGTCGTCGTCATTGTTGGCGTCGTCGTCGTCGTCGTCGTCGTCGTGGTGGTGGTGGTGTTGGTCGTCGTCGTCGTCGTCGTCGTCGTCGTCGTCGTCGTCGTCGTCGTCGTCCTCGATGTCCTCGTCTCGTCGTCGCTGGGCGGCTCCTCTCTGAACGCCCGAACGATGCCCGACAATGCCCAGACACTGCCCTCACCCACCCCACATGCCACTTAACTTCAGTAAGTCTGTAGAGCCCCCCAATAAGGTTGTGACCAAGTCATGCTTCGGCGGCCTTATTCACGGACTGGTGTCCCACCAAAAAAAGCTAACTAATGATATTGTCCCGCAGCACCCGCTCCACAACAACAACGCCGACAGCTACGACTACGATTGCGACTACGACTACGACGACTACTATTACTTATGCCTCAAGAGCGTTCTCACGGAAAACCAGAGAAAGACTGTGAGCATCGCCTTCGGCGAAGAACGTGTTGATCTGTATTGCACTCCTCTTACAAACGTGCTCAGAATTCCCATCACGCAGGGTCACCCAGGGGGTATTATCCCTGGGAGAAAGAACCCCAAGGCATTATCCAGCCCGCCTAACGATCGAGGGCAAATAGTCTCCGCCGCGACGAGGAGGTTTTAGGACCAACCCCATTCACCGCCGAAAGAGAAGGGGGGGACCAAAACCAAAGACTTACCGAAATTACGGAAGACGAAGCCAGGACGAGGGTGAGACCGGGTGAGCATAAATTCGGACTCTATGAGATCCAAAGCTTCTGGAGGATGTCTCGGGCGGCGCGGCCTTCTCAGAGCGTTCTGGAACGATCTGAGAATGATCCGCAACGCTCTGGAACGAACTTATCCTAGTCCCGTCCAGTTACCACTTCCCGCCACCTCACCCTCCCTCGCACCAATCCTCTGGGCCGGGTGGGGGGGTAAGCGGCCGGGGGGGGTGGGCGGACGAGTGGGGCGACGTGAAGGTGGGGGCGTAAAGCCTCTTTGGCAAACGGGCAGGGTGCCCAACAACAAATGTGATCCAAACCGACAGCGGCCGCTGTCTGGCACGCGCCGTTTGGGTGTCTCAAGCGGACAGCGTCCGCGGCGACTCCGGCAGCGAGGCTTTCGCAAGTTGAGCAGGAGCTGCTGCCGGTCTTCGCCCCCCACCACCACCACCACCACCACGACAACCACGCACACACGCACGCACGCACGCACGTGCACCACCACCCACAGCGCACGCGCGCGCGGAGCCACAGGTCCGCTACGACACGCGTCCGCGGATAGAGAAAATCAGCGCCATGGTAAGGGATGGGAGGGAGGGGTAGGACGTCAGACATGACGCGAGCGCACCTAGCTTGTCGCACCCCCCTCGCCCCGCCTCCCCTTCGACCGCACCCATCCTGCGCGGCCTGGCTCCGCTCCTGCTCCAGCATGCTCCTCAGGCTCGCCACGGCCGCCTCGATCCTCGCGGCCACGGCCGCCTCCGCCCGCGCGCCCGGGCCCTCGCGGGCGCCGCGCTCCCTCGCAGCGCCGCCGCGGCTGGCCGCCCGGGGCGGCGCGCCCGCGGCCCCGAGCGCCCGGCCCTCGGCCGCCTCGCGGCTGCCGCCCTCGCCCCCCTCGCCCGGGCGCTGCGCCGCCCCGCTGGCCAGCCCCTCGGTCGCCGCGGGCCCCGCCCCGTCGCCCCGCCGCCCGGCCGCGGCCGAGGCGTCCGCGCGGGGCGCCGCGCCCCGGTCGCCCCCGCCCGCGCGAGGGGGGCGAGCGCAGGGCGTGCCCTCGGGCTGCCTGCCCCGCCTCGGGCTGCCGAGCATGTCCTCGGGCGCCCCTCGGGGGAGGTGGCTCGAGCGGGCGCTCGCTCGGGCCGGGTGCGGGATCCGGAGCCAGCATGGCTCGAGCCCGGTTGGCCACGGAGGGTCCGCCTGGACAGCAGCTTCTGCCGTCTCGGGGCCGTATCGGTCGATGGGGCGCCCGAAAGAGGGGCATTCAAGGCGGGGGGGGGGTCGCAGATCATGGCCCGCGGCATGAGTCATGAGGAGGGGCCAATGGACGTGCGGAACTAACAAGAGGGGGCCATCAAACCTGGGCAAATGGCCCCAGACATGAGATCCCCCCCTATTCATCACCTCGCCTTCTTGGTCGCCCCCGAAATTGGGGCGCTCCTGGGCCGTGCCCCGTCAGTCCCGGGCCGAGGTTGGCCCATCTTGAGCGTCCCCTCTGCCAGCCCCACTTCCCTCCCTTCCCACCCCTCTTGCGGCTTCACGTGCCCACCCGTACCACCAGCAAGACAGACCGATACATCAAGGTGCAAAACGACGGCCTCGATAATAAGCGTGCTGGTCTAAATCAAAACCAGAACCACGCGCGCGTTTCGCGCTCGCTTAGGTTCTAGCCCAGCCCTTGGCGCTCTGATGACACGAGGGCTGGGGTTTGCGGGCGACTCGCTGTCGGAAAAGGGCTGCGACCGTTTTCGGCCGGCTAAGGGACGTCGCAGGGCTTCCTTGGACTGGCTTTGGGGCTGTTTAGGCGCTTTTTTTTGGGGGGAGGGACGTGACTTTGGCCCCTCCTCCTCCTCCTCCTCCTCCTCCTCCTCCTCCTGCTCCTCCTCCTCCTCCTCCTCCTCCTCCCCCTCCTCCTACAATGGCGCCGTCCAGGATTGCCAGATCGTCGTCACGACACGCGCGAGTCTTAGCGTGCGGGTTCGTCGCGGGAGCTCGCTGAACGGCCTTTGGGCACTGACTGGCTTGTCTGACGACATGTCGACGCCGTGGTTTTTGCTGGTCTTTCCAAGGCCGCGCTAACGGCGTGCTTGGTTAACGGTGCGGTTGGGAATCTGGTTCTTGTGACACCGAGCCCACGCAGAACAACATGTAGGCGATCACGAAACACCGCTTCCCACATTTAAAATATGCGCCTGTATCGAACGAGAACGACACAGCGAGTTCTAGGTAAACACGAACCACGCTTTCCTACAATTGGTTTTCCTACACCATTATTAGCTACCACACCGTCATCGCGTCTACGGTCTTTGGATGCCGTCACATGATCTTGGCCTGTCTGGCCGAGCACGTGCGGGAGGTGCGAGGAATGACGGAGGACGTGGCAACAACTGCCTTGACATAGAATGCGCGCGCTGCCACGCCGGTTGGCGGAGCACGTGGAGAATGCCAGGTGACGCAGGGCAAACTTTTCCTCCGCGGGTTCAAGCGCCCAGCTCCTCCAGCAATGCAGAACCACAGCTCATCAGCATTTACCCAGGCGCGTTGAAGAGCGCCGCCGCCAACAGATTGGGGCAGACTTCAACGGGCCCTGGCCTCATGCGTTGTTGCATGATCTCGTGACTCTCGATTTTGAAATCCCGACGGTACCTGGAAGGTGTTCGAAGGATTTCGGCATGCGCGCGCGTGCGCACATCATCCCGCCTTTTGCAGGGGATTCTTGACAACTGGCTACTTTGCGATCAACGAGTGTGCGCGTGTAGTATCTTTCGGGGATGGACAGACCCCCCTTTAGCAAAACGTGGTTTCGTGAAAACGACCTGAGGCCCAAACCTGGCGGGCGCAAGCCTGGAAAATAACGGCCGCGGCGCCCTCTCGAGAACCGAAAACGGACCATTCACTACTCGACGTGTCACTGTTGGGGGTTCTGTCCACCCCCAATATCCTGTGCAGAAGATGAGGAAAGGGGGGGGGGGGGGGGGGGCGAACTCCGGCCCCTGGCTGGGATGGCATGAAGTCAGATCCAGGACGGGCGATCGGGCGATATCAGCTGTGAGATGCAATGCGACAAGACGTCCCGTTAACCTCGGAGGGGGGGGTAGGTCCTAACATTCTGAAAATAAGAAGCCTATGAAATCAGATCTAGGATGGGCGATCGGGCGATCTCAGATGTAAGATGCAGTGCGACAAGACGTCCCGTTAACCTCGGGGGGGGTGGGGAGGTCCTAACATTCTGAAAATCAGAAGCCTATGTTGTACAATCTGGACAATAAGAAGCCTATGTTGTACAATCTAGGCCCTAGGCGGCGACGGGCCGGCGACGGCACGCACAGCGCCGCCAGACCGCCACCCAGGCCCAGACGGCGGGCGGCGACGAGGCGGCGACGAGGCGGCGACGGCGAGCGCGGAACCGCCAGACCGCCACCCAGGCCCAGACGACGGGCGGCGACGAGGCGGCGACGAGGCGGCGACGAGGCGGCGACGGCGAGACGCACAGCGCCGCAAGACCGCCCGCCACCCAGGCCCAGACGACGGGCGGCGACGAGGCGGCGACGAGGCGGCGACGGCGAGCACGCAGTCGCCAGACCGCCACCCAGGCCCAGCTCATTCGACCAGGAGATAAGAGCCCCGAAGTACAGACAGATTTCCGGGAATCTGTGTATGTATCCATGGCTTTATCTTGACACACGCACATATACGCATGCGTGTGTGCACATTCACGTCGCCACCGTGGAGAGAAAGCGGGCCGGTACACGGCGAACACCGGCAGCGCCTGACGGTGTTGCTGCTGGCGTCCACCAAGTGCGTCCTACAATTGCTGGTTCCTGCCAGGAGGCCTTCTGGTATTGCATGTTGCCAGAAAACCAGCCTGCCGCCTCCTCCTCAAACTCGTTTTTGTGCTACCGTTCTCGTCCTCATGCTCATCATTTGTTTTCCTCGTGATGCATCCTCCTTCCCACCTTCTCCTCCTCGTCATCGTCCTCATTATCCTCCTCTTTCCCCTCATCTCTCCTCCTCCTCCTCCTCCTCCTCCTCCTCCCTCCTGCTCCTCCTCCTGCTCCTCCTCCTGCTCCTCCTCCTCCCCCTCCTCCCTCCTCCTCCTCCTCCTCCTCCTCCTCCTCCTCCTCCTCCTCCTCCTCCTCATTTACTCATTCCCATCTTCCTTTCCTTTGGGATTGCCGATTGTCTGATGTGGGTTGGGTAAGTCCTTGGGTATTCGGGGGCATGGGGGAGGGTCCCTGGCGGTCGAAGCTTGGTTCCTCTGAAGCTGTTTGGCCTCCTAGGCACTCGGGGCCCTGATCCTCCAGTGAGATCTGTGGTGGTCGTAGCTGCCACGGCGTCCGCTCGCGACGCTGGGACCGCTCGGCAGGCTGCTGGCGAAGCTGCGGCCGCTCGGCAGGCTGCTGGCGAAGCTGCGGCCGCTCGGCAGGCTGCTGGCGAAGCTGCGGCCGCTCCTGCTCGCACTGGCGCTCCCGGCGCTCCTGCTGCTGCTCCTGCTGCGGCTCCCGCTGCGGCTCCCGCTCCCGCGGGACCTGCTGCTGCCGCCGCCACTCCTGCTGCTCCGGGCCGTGGTGCCACTGCCTCGGCTCCGCCGTCCCCGGCCTGCCAGCGCGCCCCCGGGCTTCCGAGCAGCACCTGGCCCCTCTCTTGCTGCAGGGACTGGTGCGTCGGGTGGCCCGTCCGAGCGGTTGCTTCCGCCGCCGCTGCGGCTGCTTCCGCTGAGGCTGCGGCTGGGGCTCCGGCTGCCGCTGCGGCTACCGCTGCGGCTGCCGCTGCGGCTGCCGCCGCTGTGGCCGCTGTAGTCGCTCCTCCCGAGGTGGGAGCTGGGGGCGAGGAAGAAGGATGAGGGAGGTGGGCAGGGGAAAGGGGACGGGGAGCGAGGGGCAGGAGGGATATCCTCCCGCCTCCTCCATGTATCCTTCCCCTCTTCCTTTTGGAGCGTTTCCTGCTCCAACCCCCATCTTCCCGTTCGGGGAGGGGTGCCACTGCCCTTGATTAGTAGACACCCCCTCCTCCCCTGCTTCACCCGCCCCCGACCAGGGCCAGTGCGCCACCCCCACCATCCCTGCCACCAACAACGCGACATGCACCTTGTGGCAAGATCCGTATCGTGCTCGGGCGACGCCCCATCACTTTTTCTGGCAGGCCAGGTGGGTGTGTCCGCCTCATTTTTTTTGTTGGGTCTGGCATGGTCGGATGCTGAATCTGAGTCTGTGTATTCTTGTTCGCTTCTGTTTGCTTGCTTTTTTTTTGTGGCTGTTCCGCGCGGGCCCACAGTGCACGTCAAAAACGCTTGCTCTGCGCACGCTGCGGCAGAATCTTGGGCCGTGCGCGGGCGCCGCGCGGGCGTGTTGATGGGGCTCCCCTGGCAAGTGTGGCCCATGCACCTCGCGGGCGTCGCGCACCGGGCTCGTATCTGCAGGGGTTCCCGCCGGTTGTCGATGGCGGCCCCTGCCCATAACAGGGGATGCGTCGACCCCTATCCCAGGCTCCGTGAGGTTTTCGAGAGGATCAACAATTTGGGGCCCAACCCTGGGATATACGAGGGGGGGGCGTCCATCCTCGACAGTGCGTCCGAATAGCCCCCTCGGGATGTATCCCAAGATTCCTCCCCTTTTCTGAGCGACCAAACTTTTCTGGCGGAAGTCGGGGATTGGGGGAGAGAAATCGCCTGCGAGCCCATGCTGAGACTCGGGTGCTACGTATGTCCTGGGAGGGAGGGTGGGAGGGAGCGAGACGGCTTGCGGCTAGGGAGCTGGACTCCCCCAGCCCCCTGGGTATGGACGGGCCGCCCCGCGAGGCGTCAGAGAGTTCGTTCGGCCCCAGTCTGGCTCCAAGGTGGCCCTAGATAGCCCAAGATAACCTTGTGGATAGCGCAAGATATCCGAAGATGGATGAATCTGGCCTCCACCATGCCTCTACAAGGCTGCCATATCCCCCCAAAACGGGCCACAGGACCTGTCAGGGATGCCCCCCAAGAGGCCCAAAATCCTACACCGAAAGTGCGACGCATGGTTTTCGAGTTCTCGCCCTTTCGCTTCCAATGGGCTTCTGAGGCCCCCAGTTGGCTCCAAGATTCCCCAAGAGAGCCCTCAGAG